TCCGCCCGCCTCGGCCTCCCAGAGTGCTAGGATTACAGGCGTGAGCCCCCGCGCCCGGCCCCTTTTGATTACTTTAGGTTGACAGTCACTATGCTGTACATCAGATCTCTGGAACTTATGCATCCAGTATGACTGAAACTTTTTACCCTTTGCCCAACATCTCCCTCCCTCAGTGCCTGGTAGCCACCAATCTACTGCCTGTTTCTATTAATTCAACTTTTTTAGATTCCTCACATAAGTGAGGTCATGCAGCATTTGTCTTTCTAATGCCTGGCTTATTTCACATAGGAGCATGCTCCAGGTTTATCCACACTGCAATAAATGACAGATTTCCTTCTTTTTAAAGGCTGATAATATCCCATTGGTTATATACTACATTTTCTTATCCATGTATCGCTTGATAGATGATTAGGTTGATTCTATATCTTAGCTACTGTAATACTGCAACTAATATGGAGTGCAGATATCTTCTTTGAGGTACTGATTTCATTTCCTTCAGATATATATACCCAGAAGGGATTACTGGATCAATTTCTATTCAAAATTTTTTGAGGGCCGCTATACTGTTTCCCATAATTGGCTATCGTATACTAATTTAAATTCCCTCCAAACATTTGCACAGTTCTCCGTCTCCACATCCTTCCAACACTTGTTATCTATTGTTCTTTTTTTTTTTTTTTTTGAGACAGAGTCTCTCTCTGTTGCGGACTAAGTGCCGTGGCATCAGCCTAGGTTCACAGCAACCTCAACTCCTGGGCTAGTCTTTCTGCCTCAGCCTCCGAGTAGGTGGGACTACAGGCACATGCACATGCCCGGATAATTTTTTCTATATATTTTTAGTTATCCAGACATTTCTTTTCTATTTTTAGAGAGACAGGTTCTTGCTGTTGCTCAGGCTGGTCCTTGAACTCTGAGCTCAAGCAATCCTTCCACTCGGTTCCCACGAGTGCTGATTACAGCCCTGAGCCCACGCCCGCCGGTCCTTCACTGTGGTATGATTGTTCTTTCCTGATTCCTGACTGATCAATGATACTGAGTATGTTTTTCGTATACTTGTTAGCCATTTGATACATCTTTTCGAAATGTCCTATTCACGGTTTTTGCACATGTTAAAATCAGGTTATTTGTTTTTTTGCTACTGAGTTGTTTGAGTTCCTTATGTATTGTGGATATTAACCCCTTATCAGATGAATGAGTTGCAAATATTTCCTCCCATCCCATAGGTTTTCTCTTTACTCTGTTGATTATTTCCTTCGCTGTGCAGAAGTTTTTTAGTTTGATGCAATCTCATTTGTCTATTTTTGCTTGTGCTTTTGGGGTCATAACCAAAAAATTATGGTCCAGACTGATATCAAGAAGCTTTTTCCCCTATATTTTTTTCTAGTAATTTTATAGTTTCAGGTCTTCAATCTATTTTGAGTTAATTTTGTATATGATGTGAGACAAGGGACCAGTTTCATTCTTCTACATGTGGACATCCAGTTTTCCCAACACCACTTATTGAAGAGACTGTCCTTTCCCTATTGTGTGTTCTTGATACCTTTGTTAAAGATCAATTGACTGTAATGGACCTCAAAAAGCAGGCCCCCCTCCAGGCTGCTTGAGTCATGAAAGCAGAAAAGAGAAGATTAGAAAGTAATGTCTGTGGCTCAGGCCACCAGGAGGAGGGTGAGTCATCCAACAATAAGCTCACCACTTCTCGGAGGTATTTCATGGCTCCAGTGCTAAAAGAAGAAACAATTTTTAAGTAAACATCAAGCACCTATTATGCATCAAGAACTATGTTTAGTGCCGGGATATGAGAAGGAAGAGTCATCAGGAGAGACAAAGACATAAACAGAACATTGTAACCCAAGCATAAGGGGCTAGGTGCATGGATGGCAGTACATACCATGAGGGCGAAGAAGGGCTCTGACCTGGGGAAGGGGAGGGTGGGACTGCCAGACAATCGGTCTCTGAAGAGTCACCTGCCAGGTCAAGCCAGGAGCAGTGGCTCAGATACTAGTATCAATGATTTACCTTTGAGTGTGTGCCTCCTGGGTGTCAGGCACTGCACTAGGATCTTTGCAGACATGTCTTAACTTTGGGACTGGATTACTTGGGTTCAAATCCCAGCTCTGTCACTCACCAGCTGTGTGAACTCAAGCAAATTACTTATACTCTCTGAGCCTCAGTTTCCTCCTATAAAAAAAAATGGGGATAATAATACCTAAGGCTGTTGTAAGGATTAAATGAGTTATTGTATATAAAGCATTTAGAATGGTGACTGGCATGCAATAAGAGCTATGAAAGCACTAGCTAGTACAATATTTAATCCTTACATCAACTCTGTGATTCCAGTAATATCAAATGCCCATTTTGCAGGTAAAGATACTGAGGATTGGGAAAGTTCCACTCAGCTCTGGAACAGAACCCTGCTCTCTGCTCTCTCAGATACGGTTCCATCCCACAGGGGAAGCCCCAGGAAAGAGCAGCACTCCAGATGCCTTTCTGAGTCCTGAATTCCACTTCCCATAGCACCGCTCAGACCAATGGCCCTGGTGTCCCATGTCCACCACAGGTATTGCAAACAGAACGGGTCCCTCTCTCCCTGTGACTTTAAACAGCCGTCCCTGGCAGGAGGTTCAAGTGCATCTGGCATCTCTAAGGCAGATGAACCACAGATCTGAAACTCAGCCTGCAGCGGCCACATTAAGACAAAGCACTCCATCCGCCTTCTGCACAGCGGGCCCTGTGGGGAGAGGGGTTTGTGCGATGAGAAAGCAGGCTGCCTCCATCTATCTTACTTAAGCCTGTTGGCTGGATGCAAATTGCTTTCTCATGCGGAAGCCCAGGGCGCTGGTGGGTGTGATGAAGCCAGGGCCACTGAGCTGAACGCCTGCATGCGGGAGGCTGCGGGACGGGACGCGGCAGCCAGAGCCGGTCTCTTGGGCAGGGTTGGGGCTGCCAAGACTTCTCCCCCGACTGTGGAGTGTATGGGAGTCCCATCAGCCGTTCTTCTTAGCCTTTGTCAGGAGCAGGAGGGCCTGGAAGCATCATGACAAACTGGAGCATCTCTGGGAGTCACCAGAAGGAGGCGGTGGGGGCAAGGGTCAGACTGGAGAGGGGGCCAGGCTACGCCACTGTGGGTGGCCAGGGAGAAGGGAGGTCAAGCTGGCTTCTGGGTATGCAATCCAAATGCATATTTCACGTATGGATGGATGGGCATGTTCATGTGCAGTAGCGCCCGCTTCTCCCAGCTCTCACCTGCAATGAGTACAGCGCAGTGAGATATTTTGAGACATGGAGGGAGACCATCTTCACATAACTTTTACTACAGCATATTGTTATAATTGTTCTGTTTTATTATCAGTTACTGCTGTTAATCTCTTACTGTGCCTAATTTATAAATCAAACTTTATCACGGGTATGTATGTATAGAGAAAAACACAGTACGTATTCTTGGACATACCCCCACAGGTAAGGGGACCACTGTGTGTGCTCATCACACAGAGAACTGGGGATGAGCTGGCTAATGGAAACACCTGCAATGTCAAGGAATAAAATAAATAGCTTTGGAAATTGAACTGAAAGGAAAATAAGACGAGGCAAAATAATAAAACCAAGAGTAAGCTCAACATCCATAAATGTATAATAAGCAAAAGCCATGGAATCTATAAAATGAACAAACCAGAACTTCACAGGAGAAACACGGCCTCATCTCAGTACTGAAAGTTGGGGGGAATTTCTTCTCGGGTCCCCCTGACGATGACCCTGTGATGAGCGGGCGATGGCTGCCCTCAGTGGCACCCTGACGGCAGATACAACCACCACCATTTCTCATAAGGCCCCCTGGTGTGAGCCGTGGCACTGCAATACCATTCAGGAATAATCCCGGTATTCATTCTACACTGTTCATAATAGCAGAAATTGTAAACAGCCTAAATGTCCACCAAATACATTATGGTACAAACATCCAACAGAGTATGATATAGCCATTAAGAAGAAAGAAGAGCAATTTAGGAACTCACATGAAACAACTTCCAAGATATGTGGGAAAGGAAAAAAGCAAGGGGCAGAACAATGTCTCTATAGTGTGTTACTATTTGTGAAAAATGAAAAAAAGAGTATATATACTTAAATGCTTATATATAGCCTAGATCCGCGACCCCCAACCCCCATGCCATGGACCGGTACCAGTACTGGTCCATGGCTTGTTAGGAACTGGGCTGCACAGCAGCAAGTGAGCAGCAGATGAGTGAATGAAGCTTCTGCTGTATGGACAGCTGCTCCCCATCACTAGCATCACCAGCTGAGCTCCGCCTCCCGTCAGATCAGCAGCAGCATTAGATTCTCATAGGAGTACAAACCCTGCTGTAAACTGCACATGCGAGGGGGCTGGGTTGCGAGCACCTTACGAGAACCAATGCCTGATGATCTGAGGTGGAGCTGAGGTGGTGATGCTAGCACTGGGGAGAGGCTACGGATACAGATCCTCATTACCGGAGAGGTCTGGCTGCACAGAGACCATACTAAATCAATTGCTTGCAGACTCATATCAAAACCCTATCACTGAGCGGCAAGTGACAATGTAATAATAATAGAAATAAAGTGCACAATAAATGTAATGTGCTTGAGTCATCCCGAAACCATCCCCTCTGTCCACTGGTCTGTGGAAAAATTGTCTTCCATGAAACCAGTCCCTGGTGCAGGTTGGGGACCACTGCCTTAGACCATTTCTGGAAAGAATCATAAGAAACTGTTTACTTCTGGGGAGGGGACCTGGGTGGAGGGAGATAGAAGAGGCTGACTTTTCACTATACAGTCTTTTTGCCTTCTGATTTTTTGCACCATGGGAGTGTATTATATATTCAAAATAATTAATTCATTAAAAACATGAAGCAAAAATCATCTAAGAGGGGCTAAACACAAGGGGCTATTACTAGACACTCCCTACAGTCAAGCTTAAGCACAACATGAATGTTACTCCAGGCCAGGCTCAGTGGCTGACTCCTGTAATCCTCACACTCTGGGAGGCCAAAGTGGGAAGATAGCTTGAGCCCAGAAATTTGGGGTTGCAGTGAGCTATGATGATTCCACTGCATTCTAGCCTGGGCAACAGAGCAAGATTCTGTCTCACAAAAAAAGAAAGAAAAAAAAAAAAGATTACTCCAGAGAATAGAAGGCCCAGGCATCCTTCAAGTGAGCCTCCATGCCTGCCATCTGCCCGCTGTGTTCTCCGCCGAGGCTCTGATGGGCAGGAGATCTACATTGCTAATTAAGATTCATCACTTTCCTTATCAACTAGAAAATTCAAAAACTTTCCATCTCCACAAACAGCTGTTAAAAGTAACATATTCAGGAAAGTTACAGGATATAAAATCAACACAAAAAATCAGTTGTGTTTCTAGACAGACATACAGACTGCTAGAATAGAATAGACAGCCCAGAAATAAACCCTTGAATATATGGCCAAATGATTTTTGACATTGGGGCCAAGATTCTTCAATGGGGAAAAGACAGTCTTTTCAACAAATGGTATTGAGAAAACTGAATATCCACAGGCAAAAGAATGAAACTGGACCCTAACCTAACACCATACACAAAAATGAACTAAAAATGGGTCAAAGACCTAAATTTAAGAGCTAAAACTATGAAACTCTTAGAAGAAAATACAGGGAAAAGCTTTATAACATTGGATTTGTTAATGATTTCTTAGATATGATACCAAAAGCATAAGCAACAAAAGAAAAAATAGATAAATTGGGCTGCATCAAAATTTAAATCTTTTGTGCATCAAAGATCACCAGAGTGAAAAGACAACCTGTGGAATGGGAGAAAATATTTGCAAATCATCTATCTGATAAGGCTTAATATCCAGAATATATAAAGAACTCCTGTAACGCAACAGCCACAAAACAAACAACACAATTAAAAAATGGGCAAAAGCTTTAATAGATATTTTTCCAAAGTAGATATAAAAATGGCCAATAAGCACATGAAGGGATGCTCAACATTGCTAATCATTAGGGAAATGCAAATCTAAATTACAGTGAAATACTACTTCACACCCACTAGGATTGCTGTTATAAAAAAGAAAGACATGAACACACGTTGGCAAGAATATGGAGAAATTAGAACCCTTGCGCATTGCTGTTGGCAATGTAAAATGGTACGACTGCAATGGAAAACAGTATGGCGGTCTCTCAAAAATTAAATAGAATTACCATATGATCCAGCAATTCCACTTCTTTTTTTCTATAGACATAGGGTCTCACTCTGTCCCCCAGGCTGCAGTGCAGTGGTATAATCATAGGTCACCACAACCTTGAACTTCTGGGATCAAAGGATTCTCCCGCCTTGGCCTCCCGAAGTGCTGGGAGTACAGGTGTGGGCCACCTTACCCTGCCCAGCAGTTCTACTTCTGAAAGCAGGGACTTTAACACATATCTGTATACCCATGTTCACAGCAGCATTGGTCACAACAGCCGAAAGATGGAAGCAACCCTTGTGACCATCGAGGGATGTAGATAAACACAACGCAGTTGATCATAAGAGGGACTATTATTCAGCCTTAAAAAGGAATGATATCCTGACACACACGACATAGATGAAACTTGAGGACATTTTCTAAATGAAATAAGCCAGTCACAAAAGGACAAATAGTGTATGATTCCACTTATATGAGGTACTTAGAAGAGTCAAGTTCATAGAGACAGAAAGTAGAAGGGTAGTTACCACAGGCTGGGGGAGGAGACAATGGGAAGTTACTGTTTAATGGGTGTGGAGTTTCAGTTTGGGAAGACGAAAAAAGTTCTAGAGATGGATGGTGGTGATGAATGTATTTTAACGCCGCTGAACCACATACTTCAAAATGGTCAAAACGGCAAATTTCATGTTATGTATATTTTCCTGCAATTGAAAAAACCTCTTCCGTATTACAGAACACGTTCTTACATTTGGAAGAAAAAAAAGCAATAAAATAAAGAAGTAGTAATATAAAAAAAAGAAGAAAAAAAAACCAAAAGAAAAAACCTCTTCCCTATTTTTGTCTGGACTTCCCCGCTGCTGAGGCCTTTGGGATCTGGGAGCTGTGCCCCGAATCCTGTGCCAGAGTCAGATTCCCCTGCATGACTCTTAAAGACATCTTTGCTCTGAGGCAGAGATTCGATAAACCGGTGCTGAGAATCGCCCTGCTTGTCCCAGTCTTCCCAGCTGCTGCTTGGGAAGGCAGAGATGGAGCCGGCCAAGCCCCACCTAGAGGCACAAGGTGACTATCCGGTGCCAGCCAGAGTGCCACGGAAGGCTCTCCTTCACACACACCCCTGCCCCTACATACGCCTCACGTAAGTACACAACCTGCCACACGCACACGCCTACACACCACACACACCCTGTGCGTCCCATGCCACATACACCACACACCATACATCCTACACGCATCATAAACACACGCATATCACAATCACACACATCACCATACACGTCTCACACAGATACACACCACGTATACCAGATATGTATCACAGACACACACCCCGATTACCCCCACGCCGCACTCCCTGACACCACACATCACACACAATACTACACACTTCCCAACACACACCACACGCGCTCACGCGCACCTCCCACCCCAGCACGTGTACACACACGGTGCCCCCCTGGGGGGCTCCTTCAGGCCCGGCCTCATGTGCAGACTGACAGCAGAAGAGCTCCTGAGGGTCTGTTTCAAACATAAATAAAACGTTGCTGATTTTCAACGGCCCTGGCTGGGTAAATATTGTGGAATGACTCAGTAATAAATGTGCGCTTCCAGGGACCCCAGGAAGGCCTGCACTTCCCCTCCCACTGTCCCCGCTGCCCAAGTTCTAAATTCTTCCCCGGGGAGCTCCATTTTTCAGCTTAATATCCTGAGGGATGGAACGGAATGAAATTCGCCCCAAGGGAGAGGAACACCAGACTCCTGCCACCGGCCTTTGGGGTGCGGCAGAGGAGCCCAGGGGAGACAGAGGGAGGAGCATGGGGCTTGCTCTCCATCGCCTGCGACCATAGTAGAAACTGGATGGCTCCTGGGATCGGGATCGGGATCGGGATCGCAGACTCCGCAGACAGAATGCGCTGAGATCCCATGACTAAGAGGGGACCGAGGGTCCGAGGCAGCCCTGAAAAAAGTTCCGTGGTGGGACCGCAGGGCGACCACTAGCTGGCGACGACAGCGTGGTTCCACTAGGTTCCCGCCACCCTCTGGGCTGGCAGGCTGGGGACAGGCCCCTGTTGGAACCATCCCCACGCAGTGCACCCTCATGCTGGCTCCATTGCAGGGCTTCAGCCCTTGACTTTATCTGCCATGGCAGAACCAAGGAAGGCTTAGTTTGGCTTGGCTTGCGAGGCATAGGATGGGCAAGGAGGAGGGCGCATCTCATTTCAGAGTTGACTCCAGACAACCTTGAGTCCTCATGACTTATTAAGAAAGCCTGCACCCTGCATTCATTCATTGATCCAAATATTTTTTTAAATGCATTTTGATTTGTAGTCAAACTTTTGTTTAAATAATGGGTTTCGGAAGAGGAAGTCAAAGGCTCTGTGCTGTTCTTGGAACATTGATCATGAAAACACGAGGCATTCTGCGGGCACCACTTTCCCCCTATATTCCTTACTCCAGCAGTCACATAAGAAGAGACCCTAATATCCATCTAGTTAGGGCCTTCTTCCACCCCTGCCTCCCCATCTCCTACCATCGCTATGTGAACACGCATTGTGGGGACAAGGAACAGCCCGAGTGCTGATTGGTGACTTAGGTGGCACAGCCACTAGAGAGCACAGCCAGCAGATTTTCACAGAGGCAGGCTCTCTTGTCACCCAGGCTGGAGTGCAGTGGCGTGATCAGAGCTTACTGTAATCTTGAATTCCTGGCCTCGAGTGATCCCAGGCCTCCCAAAGTGCTGGGATTACAAGTGTGAGCTACCACGCCCGGCCAGGACTCCTTTTACTACAACATGCCCACTGTGAGCACCCGCTGCAGGTGCTGCAGGCATTGACTGCAAACAGCTCACACCCATGCCCTCATCACACTCATGCCCTCCTGTAAAGGCATGCTCTTGGCTGGGGAGATGCCTAGGAGGTTGTGGCCACCCCTAGCCTAGCCTTTTGCCTTTTTGGAGGAACCACCTCTTGGGGTGATGTATGCTCCAGAGCTCCCCATGGGGTCAGGCTGAGGCTGGACTTCTCATGAAAACACATCTTTCCCCAGCATCCCCCGACTGGGTTTCTCCCGAGAGTTCTCTCTCAATACATCCTTTGCACAGGGATCTGCAGCGCAGGTTCTGCTCCCAAGGGGCCTGACTGCAAAGCCTTCATCTGCTTTCTTTCCTTACAGGATCCTGGGATTTAAAGGGTCCCTCCAGGCAGGAGTTTGTCTTCATTTTTAGGTGTCTGTGCCACCTTGGAAGTCTTCCAAGCAGCGTCCCCATCCCCCACCATGACTGTGGAAAACCATCTCACCGTGTGCATGGGAGGGACCCAGAGTGGCCATGTGAGTGTAGGTGCTGTCCACGTCACGTCTTCAGGGTAAGCTCAATGGGAACACCATGCTTGTTCAGGCTCAACAGGCCAAAGCCTGAATCCTAGCTGTATTCATTTCCCAGGGCTGCAGAAAGAAAGTACCATAAACTGGGTGACTTAAAACAACAGAAATTTATTGCCTCACAGTTCTGGAGGCTGAAAGTCCAAAATCAAGATGTTGGCAGTGCCATATTCCCTCTGAAACCTGCAAGGAAGAATCCTCCCTTGATGCTTTTAGCTTCCGGTGTTTGCCAGTAATTCTGGCATTCCTTGGCTAGTATAATAGATGCATCACTCCAATCTCTGCTTCCATTGTCACATAGCTATCTACTCCTGTGTGTCTCCTCTACTCTTATGAGGACACCATTCATTTTTGATGAAGGGCCCAGCCTACTCCAATATGACCTCATCTTAACTCATCATATTTGCAATGACCCTATTTCCAAATAAGGTTATATTTTGAAGTACTGAGGTTAGAATTTCATATCTTTTTATGGGAGACAGAATTTAACCCATAACACCATCTCTGCCATTTGTTAGCTGTGGAATGCCCAAAGTATGTAACCTCTCTCTGCTTCAGTTTTTTTTTTTTTTCTGGCTATAGGAATGGGACGACCCAGGTGATATAGTTAGAAAGAGGAACCCATGGGGTCATGTACGTACATTTTTCATCATGGTGCCTGGCACATGGAGGTAGATGCCATCAATGGTGATGTTCCCCTCAGCAGCATTCTCTTGGATGCCAAAGGCTATGATTCCAGCCAGCATGGTGGGGTGCAGCTGTAGTCCCAGCTACTTGGGAGGCTGAGGTGGGAGGATCCCTTGAGTCCAGAAGCTTAAGGCTGTAGTGAGCTATCATTACACCACCAGTTTAGGTGACTGAGCGAGATGCTATCCAGCTCCAGCTTAGGTGACTGAGCGGGACCCCACCTCTAAATTAAAAGGGAAGAAAAAGCAATATACTATGACTTATGTCTATTAAATAAAATGATTTTTTAAAAACCCCAAAAGCCTATTATAGCTCCCTGTCCTTCCCTACCCCACCAAGCAGCCTCTACACTGCTCCGCAGGAGGGCTTAGATCTCCCCTAGGGGTCTATTTTGTGTCAATATAAGATTACAGGAGGCCTGCAGGAAGTTTGGCTTAAGGGTCTGTTACTTAAGTGCTACTGCCTGTGACTACTCTATGAGCAATAGGAGTGCTAAGTATGTATTGAGTGGGACAACCTGGGTGAGTAGAACATGCACAAAAGCCTCCACACACAGCCCTTTCTGTCCTCACAATGACTTTGCACTTGGTGCAAATCAATCTTCCCAAGGCAATTTCCTATTGCCAGGACAGAGCTGTCTCCCTTCTTCTCACTCTCCCGCTGCTGCGCTCCCCTTCATGCCGGCTCTGACAAAGGGCTGAGTGTTCAGCATCTCTCTTAATTGATGCTGTGGCAGTCCCCTTTGCCGACAGATCCTGGCATCTGTCTGCTTATTCACAGCAGCGCAGCATCAGCCTGAAATTGTCAGCCGTTTCCAGAATAATCGGTCCTCTTCCTGATCTAAGTCTCAAAGCTTGCATTGATTTTATTCACACTAGGACATGTGTAGGTCACTTCAATAGGCTGTCTCCACCCCCCCCCAAGCTCTCCAAAACAAAGGCAATGAAAACACCCAGTTGAACTGTTAAAACTCTTGCCTCACCTGGCTGAAGCTTCCCATCAGTCATCAATGCTTCCCAAATTTTAAGGTGCAAACAAATCACCTGGGATCTTGTTAAATGCAAATTAAGACTCTGTAGGTCTAGGTCTAGGCAAGGCCCAAGATTCTGCATTCCTGATAAGAACAGATACTACACTTGATCTTAGCAAAAGGCCATGATTAAGATTCTGCATTTCTATACCCATCAAGTTGGCACTGAAAAAAAAAAAAAAAAAAAGATTCTGCATTCCTAACAAGCCCCCATGTGCTGCTGAAGCTGTTGGCCCACAGACCTCACCTTGAATGGCAACACCTGCGTGTCCCCTCCCCTCAAGGTTGATAGCCATGCCAGATGTGACAGGTAATACCACTGAGGTTTTCTCTGGGTGCTGCAGGAGCAGAAGGGAGAGAGCATCTACCTGCCTGTAAGCCACAGTGAAGGGGGTTGCTTCTAGAAAGATCACTCTGGGAATGGCCTGCTGTGTGGAGATTGGAGAGGAGGGGGCAGACTGAATGCAGAGGGGGCACAGGAGGCTCTTGCAATAATCAAACATGGTAAGGCCTGGAGTGGGATGGAGGCGGTGCGGCTGGAGAGGAAGGGGAGGATGAGCGAGGCATGTGGGACATGGAACAGGAGCGTGGCCAACTGGTTGTGGGAGGTATTGGAGGAGGAGGATGCGGACCCCACCCCAGACCTCTAGTTCTCCTTTCCAAGAGGGCTGCTGGGGGTGGTGTCCTTAGGGAAGAAAGAGGACAGGGAGGAGAATAAGGTTTGCCATTGAATGGGGTTCCAATAAGAAGGGTGCAGCCAGAGGCTCTTGGTGGGAAGGAGGTGGGAAAAGATGCAGTGGGCAGCACGAGGCCCCTGGTGGGTAGAGCCATTAGGGCTCATGTCAAGGATTCAGTCAGTCATGTCAAGGAGCCTCCAGCCTGGACTGGAGGCTCATTCATGGGAGGCCCAGGTCCCCGGGGCAGCAGCTTGCAACAAACTGATGGCATCCAGGACACCATCATAGGAAGCAATGGCCTTTTGTGATGACTTTGCCTCTTTGCTCAGGCCTGTAGTTTAGTTACTGCTTTTATCTCTACTATGCCCTTCTTATTACTGTCCGTGATTTATTGGTTGTTTACTTCATTAATCTTTAGCCTTTCTTCTCTTCTATAAGCATTTAAGGCCGTAAATTTCCTTTGAAGCATAGCTTTTATGGCATCTCACAAGTTTTGATATGAGGCATATTCATTATCATTTAATTCTAAATAATTTAAATATCCATTATTTTTTTTTCTCCCCCTCCCCCTAAATATCCATTATTATTATTACTGTTACTATTTTAGAGATGAGTCTCGCTAGTTTGCCCAGGCTCGAATCAAACTCTTGGGATTAAGAGGTCCTCTTGCCTCAGCCTCACAAATAGCTGGGACTAGTCTTGTGTGCCACCAGACCCGGCTAATTTTTGACTTTTTTCCAGAGACTGGGTCTTGCTATGTTGCCAAGCTGGTCTCAAATTCCTGGCCTCAAGTGATCCTCCTACCTCAGCTTCCTAACATGCTGGGATTACAGGCGTGAGCCACCACACCTGGCCGGTAGCAATCTTTTTAATTCATGCTTCAAGAATTGCCCATGAAGCTCTTAGGTGAGGGCCACAGGTTGGTCTCTCTCTTTTAGGAAATCTAAAATTGCATAAATCAAGGCTTCCTACCACGCAAAGGCGTACCATAAGGGACTCTCAGTTTTGCAAATGTAGTAAAGGTATGGGCTTGGGAATTGGATACTTTCCATCTTGAGTGAAGGAGGGACAGTGAAAGTGAAAGAGAAAGGAGATAGTCCAACGTCAGGACGAACAGGCCCTGCAGACATAACAGAAAGCTCGGGACATTCAGCTACTAATGCCATGTGGAAGGAGAGCCCCGAGGCCCAGCTCTAGTAGTAAGTTATACACCCTCTGACGTTGCTAGTGTCCGGGTGAGGAACAATCGTAAGTGAAAGGTGGACGTGCTGATGTGCTACTCTGAGCTAAGTGGTCTGGAAGATAAAGCCTGCTCTTAAATTCCTTTGCAGAAAGGGAAACAGATTTTAGAGAACAAATGCTAGGCTAGGTATGGTGGTTCACATTTGTAATCCCAGTGCCTTGGGAGGCTGAGGTGGGAGGATCACTTGAGGCCAGGAGACCCTGTCTCTACTAAATAAATAACAAACAAATAATCTCTTTGAAATTTGGAAAATAGGATAGAGGGTTCCTTTAAGCCTAGTAATCCTTCCTTCTACCAGCTGATCCATCCCCATCATAAAACAAACAAACATGCATGCACTTGTGAAAAACAAGTCAATTATTTTGAAAATCAATTATTCATACTGTTTGAAATAAGCATTTCAAAGGAAAATTTTGGAGAAAGATAGTACATTGGAAGCCACAGGCATTGCACTGCTTATTAGTCAAATCAGGTTCTTTGTCTTTCTACTCTGCTAATGGCTGGACTTTTGACTTCTCCGATCATTAACCCCAGCTATCAAGTGAGATCCCACAGGGCTTGGTGTGTTCAGACTTTTCTGAGTGACATTCTCTCCATTTTAACAGCCTAAGAGCATAATGAGGTGAATGAATCATAAGAAATAATGATTAAAAAAAACATAACAAAACCTAGGCAAGAACAAAACTGAACTCATTACCATGAAGAAGTAGCATTTTGGTGAGGAAAGGAAATCACTAAAGAACAGGGAGAATATATAATAACTGACATTTATGTGTCTTGCTTAAAAGATGCCAGGCACTATTTTAAGCACTTACATGTGTTCGCTTATTTAATACAAGTAAAAGCATTTTACAGATGAAGAAACTGAGGCACAGAGAGGTTAAGTAGTTTGTTTAAGGTCAGGAAGCTAGGAAATGACCAAGTTGTTATTTAAATGAAGCAGCCTGGCTCAAGCCTGGACTGTGTCAGCCCTTATAAGGAAGGGGAATGGCAAAGGCATGGATGGAAGTTAAACATATATGAAGAAAAGGATTAAAGCTTCTGTACAGCTAAGAAAATGATAAACATAGCAAGCAGACAACCTACAGAATAGGAGAAAATATTTGCAAACTATACATCTGATAAAGGGCTGATATCTAGAATCTACAAAGAACTCAAGCAAATCAGCAAGAAGAAAACAACCCCATTAAAAAGTGGGCAAAAGACATGAACAGCAGCTTTTCAAAAGAAGATAGACAAATGGCCAACAAACACATGAAAAAAATGCCCAAAGTCACTTATCATCAGGGAAGTGCACATTAAAACCACAATGAGATATCACCTTATCACTATTAGAATGGCTTTTATTAAAAAGTACAAAAACAATAGATGCTGGTGTGGATGCAGAAAGGAACACTTATCATTTTTTTTTTTTTAAAAGAAAATTCCTTCTGACAGAACACTTATCATTGTTGGGACTGCAAATTAGTATGGAAAACAGTAAGGAGATTCCTCAAAGCACTAAAATTAGACCTACCATTCGATCCAGCAATCCCACTACTGGGTATCTACCCAAAGGAAAAGAAGTCATTCTATCACAAAAACAAACAAATAAACAAACAAACAAACAAAAAAACCCACCTGCACTTGAATGTTTATTGCAGCATAATTCACAATTGCAAAGATGTGGAATCAACCCAAGTGCTCATCAATTCATGAGTGGATTATCAAAAGGTGGGATGCGTATACCATGGAGTACCACTTAGCCACACAAAAGGGTGAATTAATGCCTTTTGCAACAATTTGGATGGAACTGGAGACCATTATCCTAAGTGAAGTATCTAGAATGGAGAAACAAACACCACATGTACTTGCTATTAAACTGGAACTAACTGATGGGCACATGTGCACAGAGGGAAGTAAAACTCATTGGAAATTAGGCTGGTGCTGGGGGAAGGGGGCAGGGACAAAAACCTATCAGATGGGTACAATGAACTCTATCCACTTGATGGACACACTTATAGCCGTGACTCAAGCATTACAAAAGCAATCCATGTAAGAAAACATTTGTACCCCCTTAATATTTTGAAATTTTAAAATATTTCAAGAAAAGAAAAGGATGTAACTATTTCCATATGCACGTTGATTAGTGCATTCGTTTCTTAGCGCTGCTGTAACAGCCATAACCAAGCAGCATTGGCTGTATAGTGGCGAGCATAGCCACCTTGCAAATAACTATAACCTTGGTGGTTTAAAACAACAGATATGTATTCTCTCATAG